ACTTCTTCAGTCTGAGAGTTTCAGGTGAACTCAGCCTTATAAGCTCCGCCTCCACCTGGACAAACAGGTTAGTCACATGCAAAAGAGGGCCATCGACTGACAATGGGCTTGATTAGCTCTATTGTTCATAGGGGGTCATGTGTCCCATCATCTGACTTACTGGTTTGGATGCTGTGGTTCTAAGGTGTCGTATCGTGTATGTAGTGAATGCAGGCGGGGCTCAAAGTCTCCTTGGTTTTGTGTTTTACCTCTTTGTGTTATGCTACATCATGTTTCCATCTGCTTCCCAAACAGAACGATACATTCTGACAGCATTTGTGTAGAAATATATCTGTATATTTATTAATATAGCTGCAATTTCGACATTATTCCGACAAATTATCCAGCCTAAAAATGTCTTATTTTGAAAATACGGATGTTGTGCTCTTTTCTTTTCCTGTTGGTCCGATGTAATATTTAAAAATTGACTCCAGCGCATTTCTGTCGTCAAAAATAGGATCTGTTCTAATTTTGATGGATTGCCGTCCGCTCACCGCCGCCCTGCGCAGCCAGTGTAAACACTCTCATTGATTATAATGGGTGCGTATTTGCTGCGGAGGTCGGACCAAAGCGGAGCGGAGCCGGAACGCATGTGGTGTAAATTGGGGGTTAGGATACAGCATGCTTTTATTTATTTAAATCTGTTTTTTAAATGCTGAAAAGACAAACGTAATTTAGTTCAGTTATGAAGGTGGGGCTCTCCCCACCTCAACAAACTTAATCACAATAAGTGGTGACACTGTTAAACAAGTCACAATGTACATATATTTAGCAATCTGGCTGGATGATGCACTTTTTTTCTCACACCATATTAATGTGTAACAGTCAAAGTTTAAAACAAGACTCGGTTATTTGTATAGAAATCATGCCTCCTGTACAAGTGTCACAAAAACAAGGATTGTTGAAAAGACCATTTTCATTTGGTTTGATTATGGACATATAATTTATAGACACATTTGTAAGGAAACACTTCAGAAACTGGAAACAATTCATCACCCCACAATTTGTTTTGTTACAAATGCCTCTTTTTAATGCATCACTGCCAACCATATTCTCAGGTTGGCATRCATGCCTGTCAAAATATTCACTGGTTTACACTTATTTATAAAACTCTAATTGGGCTACTCTGTTCCATACTTGGCTCAGCTGTTGCAACCTGCATCTGTAACAAAGTATGTCACTAGGTCATCACATCTCTTGTTGAACATTCCAAGAACTAAATCCTRTTATGGTACAATGTCCTTTACTTATGCTGATTCAAATGAATTTGCTTCAAAAAAATGCCCATTTCTATTTCTCTTTATAAAAGTTGTTTAAAGGCTTTCTTTGAAGATACTTTTAAATTATACTTATAAATGTTTAACCACTTAATGATTCTTATAATTCATTCTAAAAAGTCAAAGATTTGTATTGTTTGTGAGTGTTGCATCTCTAGCAATAACCCACATTACATACAGGTTTTGCATTAGTGATGATTCTGCAGGACTRTTAGAGCATTTATGTATACTAATAGACTACTCACAGATGCATCTAATTTCAATAAATAAGAGGCTTCTGAAGGTAATGTTGGGGGCTACAAAGCAAAAAGGGCTGAATACATTAGTATGCACCACTTTTTAGTTTTACATTTAGAACATTTTTTCCTGTTCTTGTGTTTAGATTCATTACTTGTAATCAAATTGAAAATTCGTTTAAATTACAGGTTGTGAGGCAACATAATGAAAAAAATACCAACAGGGTGAATACATTTTCAAACCACCATTTGTCTAACCTATTCATATTCAATTTTAATTAAAAGGAGGTATAAAGACTGAGCTCACATTTACAGGTTTATATCCGCTGCTAAAAAAAATGTGTTTCACTATTTGATTCTACAACTCCCAGAAGAAAGTGCAGTTTGGTTTGAATGTAGAATGTTAAGCAAGGTTATTTATATTTGCWTCATGGCTGAAAAAGCATTTCTCACCCTGGTTTTTATGACTGAAAGTGAGAAAAGCAAATCTGATCATTCTGTCTTTTACTTTTACATCTGTCAAAAGACAAACGTAAAATAAATAAATAAATAAAACAGAGAGTTCCCTACTCCTRAGAAAGTTCACAGAATCAACAGTTATCAGTGGGAAGATAAAATGTGAAACATGGGATTCTCTCTCCTTTCACGGCATCTTTTACTGATGAATACAAATTAGTTGGCCTGGACTTCGCCTTCCTACGCAGTTCCGCTCAATTCTAGTTTCCCTTCACTGCTCCACCTGGGATTTCTCCCATAGACAAGGATTTGTTTGGAACATTTCATTCAGGCCAATCACAGAACAGAACGTCGATTTTCTGCGCAGTGTCTGCTTGTAGTTTATTTTACCTGGGCCAATCAGCAAACAGAAGGCGGAGTTTTGAATGATTCATTCGGCTCGGTACTTTTCTCCTCTCAGTAGGGTTGTTTACAGCACACGTGATTTCTGGTTAGTTTCTTAGCTTAGCCTCCTTCACAGCGACATACGCAGCGGCCAAACGATGCAATCATTTTAAACTTCAGCAGAGGCCACGCCTCCAGCAAGAATCGCTTCTCTATAGCCAAGAGTCCAGACCCTCGTACGAAGCAAAGTGAAGGACAAGGGTCTGGTTTTTACCAGGCTACAAATTAGKTGGATACATGTGTAAAACTTTGGCAACAATTAAAGTTACGAATTTGTACRAGTGTTCCTTTAAAAAATGTTTAATAAGCTGAGCCTGGCTAAGGTATTCCTACAAGCACATCTCTGTTAGATGATTTTATAAATTCCCAATTTTAAATTTTTTATAGA